ATTGGGTACTACTAATAGGGTCCTCGAATTGTCCTTTGTGGTGCTCCTTGAGTCTTCCAGACCCTCGATACTCACCCATTATAGGCTTAAACGGATTGAGTTCAATTCGAGAGGATATATTTCTCCAAGCCCATGCAAGGAAACTCAATGTTTCACTCGTAAACATGAGACATAGTACCCTAGAGGTTACTTGCTGAAGCCCATGTGGAGAAAAATAATTTTTCTCACATAAGTGTAGCGTTCACCTATTCCTAACGGGACAGAGCATAGTTAGAAGGCTCTAAATGTCAAACAGTTTGTGTGAGGGGAAACTCACAATCCTCTGCCTTGATCTCAGAACAATCAAACTAAAAGGTTAGTAATATGAAACACGTAAACCAATCACATTAGTACAACTAAAAAATGTGATGTGATGCAAACAAAACAAGGATCAAAATTTAAATATCATTCATATTTACCATTTTCAATAAAAAAGATTATGTATAATCGATTATGGCATGACTCCCTAATTACGTCCTCAGTGGAGTCGCCAAGCTATTGGAACTGTCTTTAAGCTTTTTGGGGCTATGACGGGGGTCGATCGAACTTAATTTTAGAAAATGTTAGGTTTTAAAATAAAACAAATAAATTTTTTGGAGTCTTCATCAACCTTTGGGTTAGGTAGGTCGAATACCTAAAAATACCATTTAAAATCATTTTAATAAAAATAATTTTAAAAGTTAAAAAATGATATGCTTTAACCAGAAATTCGTTTTGAAAGGGTTCGGGAGTCGATTACGTGTGGGGAAGGATTATCATTCCCACAATGCCCGTAATTGGTACCTAAGTGATTATACGTCATTTGAATGTCGAAATTGACAAATTTGAATATACATTTAAATTATGATCTTTTTTTCATAAATTAAAAAGGTATAATATTATGTACGAACAAATTCTCGAAAATACCTTCGTAGTTAGTTAAGGGGGTATTTTTACGGATTCCTCTTTCAAAATAATACTTCCTTAGAGTTTTTTTAGATACAACGAATATATAAAATAGATAAAAATACAAAAGGATAAAAATCACTTAAAAATAAAAGATATTCTTTTATTCGAGCAATTCCTAGAGACACACTCCTTGTAAGTTAAGGGGCATTTCCATAAATTCCTCGTATAAAATAATATTTGAAATTTTTTCAACTAGCAAGAATTTTACAAACATGTAAATTACAGATTAAAATAGTAAATTCGATAACTTTAGGGAAATTAAGGAAACTATTACAATTAATTAAATAACAAAGCATATAATACAAGAACCAAATATTGCAAGTACCAATAGTGTAATAAACTCATACGTTTGGGACTAAAATGAACTGATTCAATATTACATATCAAAAATTGATGCAATCAGAAATGTATGGCTCATGGTGACCAAAATGTAACATGCACTGAACATAAGGGCAAAATCAGAAACTTTCATAACAAATAACCATGGATTAAAATTACAACTTTACAAATTCGAAGGCACATCCCAGTAATTTTCCCAAATAATATCAGCCATACATATTGTGACTAAAACATATAGACAACAAAATATAGACAAAAACATAAAAATTAAAACCCACGCTCAATGACCAAATTAAAATCCACAAAACCCGAAAGGACCCCTAGTGATTTATCCGTGTGCTAAACTGATACAAGGCTAACCCCTCAAAATGGTAGCGTTCTGGCTTCGGTATATATACCCAAGCCATGTTCGAAAACACCCTACCCCCTTCATTTTGCTCTTATGTTTTCTCTCTAAAACAGAGAACTCTCTCACCTCTCTTTTCATTCTCTCTCTGGGGGACCGCCGGCATCTTTCGACCACCGTTTGTCGCCTTCCACAGCGGTCGATGTTCTAAAAAGCACCCTAAAATGAATCTCTTCACACCCTAAACCAAAAAACAAACCTCATTCCCTTTAAAACCAACCTATTTTCCTAGATCTAAAAGAAACAAAGGGTTACCTTCGATTGTTTTAAGGTTTCCCTTCTCTTTCTGATATCAAGCAAATGATTCAGGTTTGGTGGTAAGTTTTTTTTTACTCTCTCTTTTTTCTTTTTCGAAATAATTTTTCTATTTTTTATTGTTGTTGTTGCTCCCTTTTTTCGAAATCACCCCCAAAATATATATATCTGGTTGATTTCTCTTTGTCTATTGCATATGTTACTTCCGAGAGGATTTGGATGTGATTCCTAGGGATTTTTTTTGAATTGTTCCCCCTTTTTTATTTAGGGTTTTTTTGAATTGATTTGCTCGATTGACTTTGGTACAGGCGACCGACTTAAATATCTCTGGCAGGAGTGACAGTGGCGGGAGCAGCAGGATGTCAAGATTCATTAACACGGCTTAATGAAAAAAGAATAGAGATAAGAGAGAAGAGGCTCTTGAAACCTTGTCAATGAGAAAGATTCAAGATACATTTGTTGTTACAATAAAGCTTACTTATAGCTTTATGAGCATACACAACTAATTCTAAACAGAAGCATAACATCTTCATAACAGAAACTCAACTACCTATCACTAACTAACTCATAACCAATTGTAAACATATAGAAACCTATTACATTCACCCATCTTCTGCATTTATATATCTTCAACATTCCCCATGCTCTTCAACCTTCTAAACAGCAGATTGAGAATTAGCATTCCACATGCACCCACTATGCTACGGTACTCAGCACCATTCGTAATGAATTTATCACCATTTGTTGAAAGCTTGCTTGTAGAAACCATAGGAGTATGAAGCTCGTTTTCATCACTGAAGCCATACCTTTCTAACAATTCACGAATATATTTCTTCTGACTTAAAACTAACCCATCAACATCATAGCATAGTTCAATGCCCAAAAAGTAACTAAGAGAGCCAAGATCTTTTAAAGAGAACTGCTTGCTCAAGTCATTGATCACCCCTTGAACTTCATCTGCACTACTCCCTGTTAGGATTGTGTCATCAACATAAACTAACATATATACTATGCTAACAACAGACTTTCGAACGAATAGTGATGAATCTGATCGTGCCAAAACAAATCTTCCGAAACCAAATACATTTGAAGACTATCAAACCAGGCTCGAGGAGCTTGTTTCAGGCCAATATAGCTTTGTTAAGTTTGCACACCAACCCTTGATTTCCTTGTTCATACCCAAGCGACTGCTTCATGTAAACTTCTTCAGTCAACACTCTATTCAGAAATGCATTGTTGATGTCAACTTTGCGAAGCTATCATCCCTTGGATAAGGCAAGTGAGATAATAACACGAACAATGGTTGGCTTGACCACTGGGCTAAACACTTCATAAAAATCAACTCCAGCCTGCTGAAGGAACCCTTTGGCTACGAGGCGAGCCTTGTAACAAGACACAGTCCCATCTGGATTTTTTTCACCTTGAAAATCCATTTGCAATTAACAGCTTGTCGTCCCTTGGGAAGAGGAACTAACAACCAAGTTTCATTCCTCATTAAAGCCTCATATTCTTCTTGCATTGCTTTAGCCCAATGAGGACTACTTATGTCTTCCTTGATGGAGTAGGGTTCCTTCTCTAGGCAGGCAACCTGAAGTGCCTTCGGTTTTTTAATCCTATTTTTCCCTCTCGTAAGCATAGGATTAGAATTTTGAAAGATAGGCTGAGGATTACCACATGGCCAAACTTACCACACAATTGGCAATGAGGTCTGTTTGAACTCCGCCCTCGGCCTCAACCACGATAACCGCCACCTTACAGGTCTCAATTTTTACCTGAACGCAGTTGTGATGAATTGCTCTCTTTAGTATCAATTTCAATGTTATTTACCTCCTTAGGTAAACATGTCAAGTTAGCCATAGCACCTTCATTCAAGAATACTTTCTGTCGAGCCTCACAATCTATTAACATATCGGTCAGAGTTTCTAAAGGCAGACTATCACGAGACGCAATAGTGATGATTGACTCAAACTCCATCGACAGACTAGCAAGAACAACACTCACATGTTCTTGCTCAGTAACAATACTACCATAAGCATTAAGTAAATCACATTTAGACTTAATCTTTGCAAGATACTCACTAATAGTCAACCCAAATTTCCTTTGAGTATGTAAGCTATGTATAAGGGCTGAGATTTTGGTAGCAGATCGAGCACCAAACAATCGAGAGACAGACCATATGGAGAAGGTTGTTATAAGGCCAGTAAGATGAGGAAGAACCTCAGTCCCAATCATGTGAACAACCAAGAGGCTAGCAATTTATCTTACTGCCTATGGATCAAGAAAGCCGATCAGTCTAACCAAACACATTTGCAACATACTCATCTGGTAGGACTGCATCATTGGAAAGAAAGCTTGTCAATCCATAGCCATCGACTATCAACGCAACTTGATGCTTCCAAAGTATGTAGGTGCTCTCAGTAAGCTTGACAAAATCATGCTTAGGAATATGATGAATCCCATTAATCCCCAACGGAACTGTTATCGAGCTTACGAGAGAGGTATTTAGAGACACGGTTTCAGAACCTCGAATCAGATATATAGTTAGATCAACCATGATGAACAAGATGAAGCAAGAAATGATTTATGAGCATACACAACTGATTCTAAACATAAGCATAACAGCTTCATAATAGAAACTCAACTACCTATCACTAATTAACTCATAACCAATTGTAAACATATAGAAACCTATTACACAGAAGGCGGCGGCAATAATAGTGACTCCCTAGGGTTAGGGTTTCAGATACTCTAGGATGTTATTGGGTCGGGTTGTAATCGGGTTGGATTCTCTTGGGTTCTACAACTGGGTTTCGGGTTGATGGGCTTTAGTTCGGGCCTAGTGATGTAATGTGGGCTTCGGGTTTGGGTAATATGACCCTTTGTAATTGGGCCCAGTTGGCCTGTTGTAATCGGACCTGTAAATAAGATTTAATTATTTAATAATAATAATAATAACGATAACGATAATGATAATAAAAATAATAATAGGATGAAAACCACTATCTATAGTTAGACATTGTAAAAAGTTGCAAGTGGTGTTTCAAATGGATGATCTCCCTTGCAATGGGGAATAAAATCAAGAGAAACCACTTTCAAATTTACAATCGTCGGAGCTCTTAGGTTTACAAGAATTGAAATGCTCAGCCCATTCTTTTAGTCTCCAAAGCCTTAAGGTTGTAAAATAGAAAAGTGTGGCAAATTGGAATCCCTCTTCTCTCCTTCCCTCATTCAAAGCCCGGTGATGTAAGAAGAACTCCGATAAGCAGCTGTGATGGATTGAAAACGCTCATCACAGAGCTGGAAAATAATGACGGTGAAACAGAATCACACAGTTTTTTCCCTACTCTGTTCTTGTGTAAATTGAAAACTCTCGACATCAGTAGTTGTTCAAAACTAGAATATGCTCTGTCAATCACTTCGGCTAAAGGTCTTGCTGCTCTTGCAACGATTTCAATTTAACATTGTGATGAACTAAAGCAAGTCTTTGGCAAGGTAAAAGAACAAAGTGGAGTTGAACAAGATGGATATTTAATTGTAAAACACAATGTTAGAAATCTATCCGTGGTTGTTTCTTGCTGCCTTCAGTTGCTCTTTCTGAAGAAGACTAGTGAAAATCAAAGAAAATATGGGGAGAAAAAAAAAGACGAGTATGGTGTATAAAATAATAAATTGGAATTTAGTATTAGGTAAACTATGCGAATAGTCCATTTTAATCCTTATTTTTTTAAGTACTTTAACTCTTTTGTTTTTGTCAAATCATATTTTGAAGTAAAAATTATTATTCGACTAATAATCAACGTTTATTATTCACATGGCATCTTGCGCCTTGGTAATTTGCAACATCTACGACTTTGTTTTCTAAGGAACTCAAGTTGTTATGCTCCAGAAAACTATATTTTCAAAGCGCCAGCGTTAGAAAGCTTAAAAGTTGATCAGTGTCCTTGATTGTGTTGAAATCAAACTAGATTTCTTAATGTCGGCATGCCTAGAAGCTTCATAAAATGACGTGGCAGCATTTAAAAGGAAATGGATATTCTAATCACCACATGGATGATGAAGTGGCAATGCTTATTAATTAAGTAATAACGGCAGCAAACATTTGTGAATTAGCAAGCAAATGGCATGCACTACAAATTTTGTCACGGCAAGGAAGCTTATCAACTTGTATGGTAGTAGCAAATTGAGTTGGTAGCCGTTTATAAAGTACGCACTTTAGAAGCAATTTCAAGGCGGTTTTCTTTACCTATAAATATGTGTAATTAGCATGTATGAATGTAATGTAAGTAGCGAGTGAAAACAAAAACGAGAGTTAGAAAGTGAAGCTTAGCAAAGCTTAGAATAGTGGGGTTATGTTTGTAATCTAGCCGAAGTTAGTATTCGTATCGTATTTGTATTTTGGTTCGTATTAATAATAGCGTGTGAATTATAAAATTTTGAGTGTCCGTCTACTTTTCTAACAAGTGGTATCTAGAGCTTGGTTCGAGTTTATGCAACGGTAAAAATGACCAACATGATTCAACCTCAAATCCCGAGATTGATAAAGACAAAATATGGCAATTGGAGTATTCAAATGAAGGTGTTACTAGGTTCCCAAGATTGTTAGGATGTCGTCGAGGAAGGTTACGCTAAACTCAAAAATGCAGCAGCAGAAAAAACCTGACTAATGAAGAAAAGAGGGTATTGAAAGAACCCTGAAAAAGATAAAATAGCGTTATTCTTTATTTTTTCAAGGAGTAGACGAATTTACATTTGAAAAATTTCTGATGCGAAGACCACAAAGCCAGCGTAGGAGATTTTGCAAAAAAATCTCTCCAAGGTGTCGAAAAAAATGTACGTCTACAATCCATAAGAGTTGAGTTTGAAATATTAAAAATGAAAAATACTGAAAACATCGTGATTAAATTAGCCGTATGAAAGAGGTAGTAAATGAAATGTAGAGAAATGGTGAATCACTCGATGAACTGAAAGTGTTAGAAAAGATATTGCGATAGTTGACACGAAAATTTGATTATATGGTCATGGAAATCGAAGAATCGAAAGATTTATCTCAAGTATCGATCGATGATCTTATCGATTCACTTCAAGATCATGAGTAGAAGATGAAACAAAATGAAGATTTGAAAATTTGGGGCAAGCATTGCAAAGAACAATGAACATCCGTGAGGGAAAAGCCAACAAAACTACACACGAGGGCAAAAAATGTGGTAGTGATCATGAAAGATACAGAGGTAGACGAGGAGCACGAGGATGACACCACTCAAACAAGTGAAAATTACATGCATAAGGCAGTGGATGATGATTTGGAGGCCAAGGTCGAGGTCGATATCAACAAGGAAATAAATTATAGGTACAATGTTATAATTGCAAAAAATATGGTCACTATAGTTATGAGTGTAGATCAGCTCCTAAACAAGAAGAAAGAAATAATGTAGCAGCAGCTGAAAAAGAAAAAATTGAAAAATCATGTATTCCTTACTTACAAAGGAAATGAAGAGTTCAAGAAGAATATTTTGTATCTTAATAATTGTGCCAGTAACCACATGTGTGGCCGAAAGGAGCTATTCATGAAGCTAGATGAAACAATCCATGGACGAGTAACTTTTGGTGATGACTCACGCAGAAGTCAAAGGAAAAGGTGAAGTCATGATTACTTAGAAAAATGGTGAAAATAAGTACATCTTAGTTGTCTATTATGTACCGGCTTGAAAAGCAATATCATTAGCCTTGGACAACTTTTGAAAAAAGGATACAAAGTGGAGATGAAAATCTCTTGCCATAAAAAATAAAGATGTATAAATAATTCTCAGAGTAGATTTGACTCGAAATCGCCTCTTTACCATTAGCATCGAGTCAAGAGAAGTAAGGTGCATGAAGATCGCGATAAAAAATGATTCATGGTTGTGGCATCTACGATATAAATATCTTGGATTTTCTGTAATACCCCAAAAATTTAGATAATGACCAAAATGAAAATTTGGAAAGTTTGATGGTCAAAGTAGAAAATTGGGAAAAAGTTTAGGGAATTAAGTGATAATTTCCTAAAAAGAATTTTATTCCATAAATAGATAGTCTACTCTTGAGAGTGGAGTTTTATAGAGATCATATTTTTGGGTTTGGAATTGTGGAATTTTTTAGATTTGATCGAAATAGTGGAATTTAATGACTAAATCGAAATGATTTAAAAATATGAGATTTAATTAAATTAAATCATGAAAGAAGATGATAAATAGGATTCATGTTTAAATTAGATGGTAGGAAATGATGATTAAAATGATATGTTGGTCATTTACATTAAATTGAATTTAATATTCAATTAATGGGGGATAGATAAGAGATAAGATGAAGAAGGGAATTGTAAGTCAACCCTTTCATCTTCATCTCTTCTTGCCGTGGAAAACTCTCCCCTTCAGCTCAAAGGTAAGTTTTCAATTTAATGGTCATTTCCTTCGATTTTTGATGGGATTGAAGCTTTGTATATTATGGAAGCTTTGTATATTATGGAAGCTAAAGGAAGGTTTAAATGAGATAAAACTAAGTTATTGATGAGATATTAGATATTAAAGATAATGGGTTTTTGAGTGACATGATAGAATATGAAGGTTTATGGATGAGTTATTGTAGATTTGACTTGTCATCAATTTAATTAAGAGATATGAGGTGTTAGAACTGGATTTAGAACATGTTGAAATTTGAGTATGATTCTTAAATCTCATGTAGAAGATAGGATTTTATGGTTAAGGATGGGATAAATGAGTATTAATGAGTTTAAGCATGTGTATGTGACTTAAGAACATGAAAGGGGAAGAAACATGGAGTATTGAAGTTGAAAGTAGTGATATTTCGTGCTTAAAATGAGATTTCTGGGCAGAGTGCATCGATGCACCTGTGCATCGATGCACAGGTGGTGCATCGATACACCCTTTAATTGAAAAACATCGAATGCAATAAGTGCATCGATTCATAGGCAGTGCATCGATGCACTATAGAGTGCATCGATGCATAAGGGCCAGAATTGTTAAGTTGGGACGGAAATATTGTAGAAAGATTAATAATAAATATTTTGATTAATGTTTAAGTTATAATGGTTAGTAAATACACTAACAATTGGTAATATACATGTACTCAATGAATGGGAGATACATCGAAATAAAGCTTCAGAGTCGAGTAAGGCAAAAGGCAAGGGCCAAGTCTCAGAGTAATTATCTTGCTAATCAGGATTTATAAGCAAGGCGAACCAGGTGAGTGCATCTAATTATTCACGTACATGTGGTAATAGTTAAAATAGCATGATTTATTAATGTATGTATAGTGATTACCAAATGGCACTATATGCGCTAAAATGATAAGGAAATCATACTGAGTGTATGAATTTCCATATGGAGCACTGAGTGTGCTAAAAAGATAAGGAAATCATACTGAGTGTATGAATTTCCATATGGAGCACTGAGTGTGCTAAAAAGATAAAGAAATCATACTGAGTGTATGAATTTCCATATGGAGCACTGAGTGTGCTAAAAAGATAAGGAATCATACTGAGTGTATGGATTTCCATATGGAGCACTGAGTGTGCTAAAAAGATAAGGAAATCATACTAAGTGTATGGATTTCCATATGGAGCACTGAGTGTGCTAAAATGATAAGGAAATCATATTGAATATATGAATTTCCAGATAGGGCATTATATGTGCTAAAATGGTAAGGGAGTCATACTGAGTGTATGATTTCCAGAAAAAGCACTAAGGGTGCTACAAGGATAAGGAAATCATACTAATAGTATGGATTTTCATATAGGGCACTTTATGTGCTAAAAATGGTAAAGGAATCATATAATGGTATGGATTCTCGCATAGGGCACTTCGTGTGCTAAAATAGGAGGAAATCATATTAAGTATATGATATTCCAGATAGAGCACTGAGAGTGCTAATATTATAAGGAAATTATATGAATTGTACAAATTTCTTATGGAATGTATGGATTCCAATAACAATTAATAAATGAGGTTAATGGCATCAGTGATGTAAATTATAGTAAGTAGATTGATAAAATAAGCTTACGAGCCTATGAAATTATAGTAAGTATATTGGTAAAATAAGCTTACGAGCTTATGGAATAATGGTAAGTATATTGGTAAA